TGTGGGCGCTCAATAACCATTCAGGAAAGTAAGGAAAAGTGGAATAAAAACAGGCCTGCAAAAACAATTGCATTCTTCCTATTGATTATGATTGCGTTGGCCCGTCCCTCCTGCGCCGTCTAGCCGTCCCGCTCATTCATATTCCGGTGGCCTTAGTCACTTTTCCTTTATGGCGAAATAAGTTCAATGACACAAAAATAATACAGAATAACAATAAGATATAATATCTTTGGCTCATTGTTCGCCTTGGCTGACAAACACGCCCCGTCTACGCTGGACTCCTTTCATGGGGAGCGAGAGGGATGGCAGTCGAGCTTGGTTGAGCCATTATTTGCATCTTTCACTTTTCAACTCTTTGGGGGTTCGTCCTCGTCCTCGTCCTCGTCCCTGTGAATAGACTATGTGGAATGTGGGGCAGCGCTCTCTCTCTCTGTCTCTGTGTATATACATTCCTCTCGTTTGACCGCATAAAATCGATGACAGGCCTTCGTCCCACTTCGTCCCCACCTTTATTGTTCGCAATGCCCTGCATCAAGTTCAGAGCCCAAAAACTAATGCCATTTTATTGTTCTGCTGGCGACAGACAGACAGCCAGTCGTCCTAACCATCCTAACTATTCCGACCCCAACCATACAACCAACTCATACAGACCCGACCGACCGACTTTCACTTTTAGCCGGAACAGAATCGAGAACGGAGAATGGAAAATGGAACCCCCGACAATCAAGGCGAGTGAATGACTGACTGACTGAATGAATGAATGCGGTACTCATCAACACGTTCGCAATTTCAATGGCCAGAACTTCGCGCTTATCATCATCGTGCAATCAGGATACACACACACACATTCACAGCCTTTGTCTCCCTGTGGCAGGATTTCAAAAGCTAGACGCCGAGCAGAGCAACCTGTTGCCAAATAGCCAGACACACACATGTGTGTGTGTGTGTATGCCCTGAACTTCGCCAGGGAATGCAATTTTCAACAACGTCATCATCATCACCATCACCATCTGTAGCAACAACAGGGCCTTTCCATAGCCACAACGCATATAATACATTCAACAAACAATTGAAATTTCGTATACAATTGCGAATTGAATGAGGAAATGAATGTGTAAAATGAATAAGTCTGAATAGCGTCTGTGTCTGTGTGAGTGCAGTGCCTCTCTTTCGCACACTCGCGCCATCTCGCTCGCACTTCCAGCGACTATGTGTGTGGGTTCGTCTACAAGTGTCGAGACGGGTCGTATACGTAATATACGTTTTTCTGCACTTGTTTTTGTTCTCGGCCGGGTGAGTGTTTGCAGATTTTTTCGCCGTTTTCTTTTTCGGGCGTTGTTAAACGGATAAACTCGTAAAACAGTTGCCGGCAAAGTTGCAAGAGCAAAGCATTTAGGGAACATTCAGATCCGAGTTTAGAGTCAACACGGCGGCAGAAAGAGAGGACCAGCGAGCGAAAGTTGCGCAGCAGAATGTGGCAGCAAGGAGTGGCCAAAGTTTTGCCCAACAAAACGGATGCAATATGGGCTATATCACTGAAAGTGTATTGATATTCTCCTTTGATTGGGGTCGTTGAAGGGCAACAGATTTATTTTGTTACTTAACAACAATAAAGAGAAACAAATTGTACATTACATACTAACTAAATTTGTTTTTTGTTTGTTTTTTATTTCTATATTAATTACCTAATCAGAATCCTATTATATTTCATTAATTAGATGTTGTGTTATTGTGTATTCTTAAATAAATAAAATAATTCTGACTTTTAAAATTTGGTACTGTCAATACAAAATATTCTTTTTTAATCTGTGCCAACGTTCTAGAAAAGAAAATCAACGTCAAATATTTCAAAATAATAATTCCTTATTGATTTGAGGTCTTCTGAGTTCATTTCAGAAGTATTTATTATCTTTGTCCAGATATAAAGTGAACTGGGGTTAGGATTTGCTATAATATTATTATTATTAATATTAATAACTTAGATTAAAATAAATTTGAAATTCATATCCTATGATATTGGTATATGTATGTTATTTGATTTTGTTAAAATAATATTGTAAATATTTATTTACTTGGCCCAAATATGATATTTATTGAATTAAGGACCGTGAATAATTTATTTAGTTTTTGCCACATTCTTGGGCAGGACCATATCCATATATTCTCTGTGGGTTTATTCAGATTTGCTCAACTTGTTTGCTTGCCAATTCTGTCTTTTGTTGTTGCTGGCGCTGCTCCTCTTGTTGCCATTTTGCCATTGTCCGCCCGTAGTTGTTGCGTTTTTATTTCTTTTATTATGTACGAATGTTTGCCTGTTTGTTTGTGCAATGCTCTCCCGCCCATTGTATTTTTCTGCTTTATTTCCCAGTGGTGTGTGTGTGTGTGTTTGTGTGTTGGCGAGAGAGTATTTTTATTTTTTGTGTGTGAACAATTAAAACTCTTTACAATGACCTTGACTTTGTTTTTTGTATGGCTCTGCGAGTGTTTGTGAGTGAGCTTCCTTTTCATTCACACGCGCCCAGCACGCTCGAACGTCAAACATAAAACATAAAACACAAATAGCAGCAACAAAGCCGTCTGAGTGTCTACTCGTCGCTCATTCTGGATCCGAATCCGAATCGGAATCGGAGTCTGAGTCTGAGTCTAAGTCTGGGTTTGGTCTGGCTCGGTTCGGTTTTCGGTTTTTGGGTTTCGGCTCGTTTTTCCCATTTTCAACTGAATGGCAAAGGCTTTTCTGAAGAGCAACAGTCTTCCCATCAAAAGAATCGATGTACTCGGTACAATAATAACACAAAATAACAGCCAGGGCAAGTACATTGATAATGAACCGAGAATTGTATGTTTTTTTTTCTGCATTTGTATTTGCCATTACACAATAGCCCCAGAATCAACAACAACGACTTTGACTTATTCCTTTTCTTTGGCCAACTTTTTGCGGTTAAGATTTGCGTTCTGTTTTCAGTTTTTGATGTTGCTTTGTTGTAGGTCAGTTACTGGGGCAGGTTTTGCATTGTTTGCTGGTCTTTATTATGGCTGTTTCCCCTGTGTTTACGTTTCATTGTCAAATGATTTGCAATTGGCCATAAATTCATTAAGCAGCCGAGCCCTCATATCGGCTTTGTTTGTATTATACATTTTTAATGGGTTAGTAGCTCGCTTCAAGTGTTCGATGACTTGCAGGAAATAAGAAGTCGATGCTTAAAGAATATTACAAAAGAAATTTGGGTCTGCTAAAAACGGAGAAGACATTTGTATTGAAATAAATGCTCAAACTGTATAATTCCCAATCAAGAATCAAGTATGGTCCTGTTTTTACAATAAATGTAATAACGTCAATATTAATAATACTACTTTCTTGAGTTAATTTAATAACAAAGAATAACAAAGAACTGGGGCCTTTGTAGAATAATAATTGAAATATCCACAACATAAAAAAATATTTGAACCAATTAATCGTAAACAAACTTTAAAATCATAACAGTTGAAACTATTTTCTCAAAATTTGTAGTAAGCAATACTAATTTAAAAATAATTAAATATCAAGACCATGTTGAAAAATAAGTGTGTAAACAATTATTCCTGTACATTACCATATAAAAAGATATAGAACTTCACAAACGAAGCTATAATTTACATTACTACGTAATTGAAGGTTTTTAAAAACCTAAAAATGTAGTGATTTTCATTAGTAAATATGTGTGGTCTTACAACTATTATTTCGAACACATTTGTGAGTCTTTGCTTCTTCTCTTTGGGAGCTCTGATTGAATGTGAATGTATTAATCGTTCATTAATCCACTTCCACCTGCATTGCATCGCAGTGAGTAGTGTTAACCAGCTGAGAACTGGAATCCAATCACTTTGCGCCACCGAAAGTCGAACAAAACAAATCCGAGGTTTACTCATGGGCAACCCGAAAAGAGGAAGGAAACGCAGAGCCAGCAAAAAACACATTAATCGAGGGGAAGGTAAATTAAATGGGGGCCGAGATGGGGGAGTGGGTGGCCTAAGACAATGCCGTAGGACGGACCAGCTCATGTGGTGGATACGTGAGCGGATGCCAAACCGCATCAAAGTTTCGCACAGGCCGAGATACAATCTGCAAGATACATTTGCAGTTGCCAGCTGCAGTGCACTTGCTTAATAAATTTTTCCATCTGCCGACTACTGCCTGCCTACACAATTATTCGTCAGCTACCTTGGCGAACCCATTAGGTTAATAAGAAGCGCTGCACAAGACGCAGAGAGACTACACAGATTTATATAAATATATATATATATGTGCTTTTTTTTATGTATAGCTGGGCCCCAAAAAAAATAAAACGAGGAAAAACCAGCAAAAACTATGCGCGTGAGACGCGCTCTAACGGCGAAAACGCCGCAAACACTAAGGCCCCTGGGTTCCAGGATCCCTGGACTGGGCTGGCAGACCCCCACACCCCCCGTGCCCACCCATTTCGGCCATGTTTAAAGCTTGAAATTTATACGGCTATGGCGAAAAATTCCTCTAGAGTTTCGGCAGTGGGGAAAAGCGGCAACAGCGCTTGCCATAAAACCAGAGACGACATTTTTATGGCAGCGGCAGGCGCAGCGCGGATCGATAAAGTGCTGGACAAGAACGGCACTACCGCCGCACCGCTCGCTCCGCCCGCTGATTGGCGGGGCGGTCTGCGCAAAATCCAACCCAGCCAGCGCTCACCGCACACAGATACACACAGGCAAAGGCGAGCGTTTATTTGATTTATTAGCAGGGCGCTGTGACTATATGTTTATCTCGCTCTGGCCAAGGCGCAGTGGTCTGAAAATGCCGACGCACACTCGGGCAGCAGGCACACGCACACACAGATACACAGGCATGGATACAGACACAGATACAGATGCAGGGCCGTCAAGACCAGTTTTTCCAGCCACCCTGTCTGGCGGACCGACCGACCGACCGACCGTGTTTACCGCCTGCTCGAGCGGCCAGCGGCACTCCGTCTCTCATTCGACTCTCGCATTCGCCGTCGTCAGCACACGCGCACGCAACGTCGCACGGCAGCAACAGCAGCAGTACGGCAGCAACATCAGCAGCACGGCAGCAACACCAGCAACTCGGTTCTCGGTTTCGTGTCGTATCGCTATCGTTTCGCATCGGTTCGTGCCTCGTCATCAGCCCAAAAAATAAAAACGAAAAACGAAAGATATTATAGCCAGGGAAAAAGCAGGCAGCGTTGAGTAGAACGCACCTCGAACAGGTTTCGCCGTCGTCCGGAGAAACAGAAAGGTGCTCAATTCCGCCCAGTGTGGAGGTATTTTTTCGGTGTTCCCGCTACAAAATACAACAAAAATATATAAATAAAACAACAACTTTCTGAGGCACTTTCGCGTCGGGTTTTAACAACAATTTTCAAGTGTTTCTGCCGCCTCTTGTTTGTTCGCAAACACAGCGGAATAGAAGAATATATTTGTGACTGTGGAAAACAAAAATTATAAAACACAAAACAAAGCAAATCAAGCTGTTTAGCTTAATCCAAAGAGAGAGCCAAAATTTTTGATACGCAAAATACAAAATACGAAATTTGTTATTACAAAAACTATAGCCAAAATCAAAAAAATCCCAAGTGCAACATGGTTTCCCACAAAATGTTCAAAATGTCTAACTAAAGAGTAACTAAAAGTAAAGATTAAACTGCTAGGCAAAAAAGCGAATATCATCCGGATTCGAAGGGCATCTACATCCGCATCTACGAGATCATCTTTAGCGTACAGGAACTGGAAGCAATCCCCACAAGATGCTGACCATGGAATCGGATATGAAGGGCAGCCTGCTGCATGCCACGATGCCGCCGCATCATACAAGTGCCGCGTTGCACGGACATGCCTCATCGCCGTATTCGGCTTTGGCCCCACTGATGAACCTGGGCCAGTCGCACCTGACCCACTCGCAGCTGAGCCACCACAACCACCACCACCACCACATGAGCGCCCACATCGCGGCCAGCCAGAGTCCCAATCCGCTCAGCTCGCTGCAATCCTCGATGGCCAACACCCTGAACGGCACCCAGGTGGGTCAGCAGCAGCAGCAGCAGCAGAGTTCCCCACTCCACAGCTCCAGCGAACTGAGTCCCACGCAGAGCAGCATTGGCAGCCACCACATGACCTCGCCGGTGAGCCACCAGCAACATAGCCAGCAGCAGCAGCAGCAGCAACACTCCCAGCAGCAACACCTGGCCGCCGGATCCGCTCTGAGCAGCCTGACCGGCGGTTCCAGCAACAACAACAACAACAGCGCCACGGCCAACAAGAACCAACAACACGCGGATCGAGTGAAGCGGCCCATGAACGCGTTCATGGTGTGGTCACGCGGTCAGCGGAGGAAGATGGCCTCGGACAACCCGAAGATGCACAATTCGGAGATCTCGAAGCGACTGGGCGCCCAGTGGAAGGACCTCTCGGAGTCGGAGAAGCGGCCGTTCATCGACGAGGCGAAGAGATTGCGGGCGGTGCACATGAAGGAGCACCCGGACTACAAGTACCGGCCGCGTCGCAAGACCAAAACGCTGACCAAGACCAAGGAGAAGTACCCGATGGGCGGTCTGATGCCCGGCCAGGCGGTGGGTGGAGGGGCGCCGGGAGAGCCGGTGACGCCCACCCGGGGGCAGGGCCAGCCCGGCCAGAACCAGTCGCTCAACGGCAGCGGAGGCAGTGCAGCGGCAGCGGCGGCGGCGGCAGCAGCGGCAGCCCAACAGGCGCGCCAGGATATGTACCAGATGAACGCGCCGAACGGATACATGCCCAATGGCTACATGATGCACGCGGATCCGGCCGGAGCCGCGGCCTACCAGACCTCCTACATGACCTCCTACATGGGCCAGCACTACTATCCCCAGCAGCAGTCAAGTCTGGAACAGCAAATCGGTGAGTAATCTTTACGTAATTAGTTGTCTCGAGAAATTAGAATTTCTGTATGAATCAATCAGCGTTTGAGTGAATGCACTGATTTTTCCATTTTCTGAACCGCCGCCGCCAAGTCACTAAAATAATGGCGTTGCCGGCGGCGGTTAACGGCCTATCCTTTTATACAACTTTCAAAATTAAATTATATATAAATAACTATTTGGACAATGGTTGTTCTTTGAGATTGCCTCATTTAACATTTTCCTAGAACATTTTAAAACATGTTATTTAGTTGCTTCGTTTTTTTAATTTCGGTGCTGGATTTCCTGCAATATTTAGTTTATTATTAATAAATAATAGGAAGTTTAAAAAAGTCTAAAAACTCCCCAATATTTCCTCTAGTCCGTATTATAAAGCAGAATTTTCTAGTTAGAATCAGAAAATGAGTTTCTACCCTTTGTGTTTTGGCTTTTGAATGCGTGGTTAGTCCAATGATTAAACTATATTAATTAGAGATTTTCAAGTATTATTGGAGTTATTAATGTCAAAACCTATCGTGGTTGATTTTGATTACACTTACAAATACATCGTTTCTCATATTGTTGCTATTTGCAAACCTCTTCCTTTCGATTCCTTTACTTTTGTGAAAAAGTTTTACCACAATTTTGATCACACTGATTTGCAATTACGATACTCAGTTCTTTTTATTAGGTTTTAAAAATCGTTTACATTGGCCTAAACTTTGAAGAAAATATTGTTTTTAAACTATCCCAGTATCTCAAAACACAATGATCCATTGCTATTGATAGTTATTTAAAAGTGTATATTTTTTATTTCGATTAACTGGATAACTGCAACTTTCTGTCGATAATACGTTCGGTGTTTTGTTTAAGACAATGACATTATTTAAAATAGTTAAAAACCATGACCAACCAAAAGCAAACTAACGTTTACAACTTCCACACGAATTAATAATTTTATATGCATAAGCATTTTCTCTACAAAATTATTTTTTATGTACGTTGCTCGGTATTAAAACGAACTAATACCGAATACCTTCGAAAAGGAAATATTTGTATAATAATAAATGGCACACAATAAAAATGTCAAAATAATTAAGAATTTTAAAGAGTTTATCTTGTAAGGAATCTTTTAAGTTTTATATTTGTTATTTTCCATATAGTTTTAGTATTTTCTTTTAATTTGTTAATTTCTATTCTAACCATTCCATTATTTATTTGTCTTGCAGGAATGTGTCACCAGCAACACCAGCACCTCCCGCATCTGTACCAGACGGTGTCCGGTGGCCAGACCTCGCCGTACGGGAGCAGTCTGCAGCAGCCGGGATCGCCGTCGCCCTACGGCGGCAGTAGTCTGCAACAGCAGCCGGGCAGTCCGGCTCCCTACGGCGGCGGAGGAGGCGGTGGCACCCAGGTGTCCTGCCAGAGCCACAGCCCCAGCGACTCGAGCATCAAGTCCGAGCCCGTCTCGCCCAGTCCCAGTGCCATAGCGCTCAACAACAACAACAACATCAACAACAATCACATCATGAAGCGGGAGTACAGCTCGGCGGCAGCGGCAGCAGCAGCAGCCGCCGGCGGCGGGGAGCTGAATCACCTGATGAACATGTACCATCTGCCCGACGAGCAGCGCCACCTGCTGCACTACCAGACTGACTCGCCGGACTTGCAGCAGCAGCACCAGGCGATGCAGCAGCAACAGCAGCAGCAGCAGCACCAACAGATCCCGCAGCAACACCAGACGATGCAGCAGCAACAGCACCACCTGCAGCACCAGCAATCGCTGAGGACGATGGCGCCGCTGGCACACATGTGAGAAATGGCCAGCGCCTATGGAGCAGCAGGCTCCAGTGTGAGCGTATCGCCCCCACTGCCGCCGTACATGCCGACGGCCCCGCAGCAACAGCAACAGCAGCAGCAGCAGCAACAACAACAGCAGCAGCAGCAACAGTTGCTGAACGGACGGCCTAGTCCGACGGCATCGGGGTCGTCGGGCGGCCGCTCCTCGGCGCATTCCAGTGGCCATACCGCCGCGCATTCACCCGCCTTGGCAGCCGCCTACCAACTGACCCCCTCTGCTGCCGCCTCCTCCGCCTCTGCCTCTGCTGCTGCGGCGGTAACTGCAGCGGCTGTTGCTGCTGCTGCTGCGGCGGGCTCTTCGTTCGCCGCCTCGGCCAGCATGCTGGACATGCAGCAGCAACATCTCGAGGAGCAGCAGCAACACCATCATCTCCACTACCAGCAGCAGCAGCAACACTACCAGCAACAGCAGCAGCAGCAGCAACATCTCCCGCAGCAGCAGCAGCAGCAACATCAGCTGTACCATCACTATCATCCTGGCCACGAGGCAGCGGTGGCCGCCAGTGCTGGCCTCTTGGATATATCCACATTGTAAATTATTGAAAATATTAACTAAAAGCCCTAGGATACGCACACCCACACACAGACACAATTTTAGCCTTAGTTCTTAAGCAGGTTTAATTCGAAATTGCAGAGTAACAAACACAAACACACTCACACACATGCATATAAATAAATGAATAGGGTTAATGTTTAGTCATTTAAATGAAGCATACGCACTGTTGTACCACAATAGGAAGATGACAACTCACTTGCATTCCATACTGTTCTGCTTCAATTTTCATTGATTTTCCGCTTGCTGCATAGCTAAAACAATTGTGTGATACAAATAAATTGTTGCGAATTACTGAGACAACAAATCGTTTGATTTAGCATTTCATTTTCACCCACTTTTTGCTGTACAAACCATTCTCAGACATTAAATGTGCGTTCGAAGGAAGCAACAAAAAGACGCGGAAGCAAAAAACACAAGTTTAATAGGTATAAAGACAATTGATACGAGAAAAGAAAATATGAAAATATTTCAGAAAAGCAAAGAAAAATGTCAAAAACATTCTATTTTATAAATTCTCTTATGCATTAAGTAATTATAATTATTATCTATTATATAAACAATTTAATTATTAATTATGCTTACAAATACAAAACAAGACAACCATAATTAATTGTAATAAAGCGAAAAACAAAATTATTATTATTAAAACATAAATCGAAACGAAGGCAAGAATCTACTGCATAATACAAACACAACAAGAAAAATGTTAGTAAACCTAAAGCAAATTTAGTAAAAACAAAACCAAGAAACGTGCAAAACGTGAATGTGAAACATGGAGCAAGGCAGATAAAACAAACAAATCCAACAAAAACATTGCCAAGCACCTGGAAATAATAAAAACAAAACCCACAAAAAAATCCACAAAAAAACAAATAAAAGAAAAATCTTTACAAAAATTTCAAATTATTTTTTTTACTATTTGCCGTCGGCAAAAAAATGGGAAAAGCGATGACAGCCGAAGATCCGTGAATTTTGCATAGCGAGTTGATATGCAGGTTTAATGTGTCAGATGCTTTATATTCCAGTTTTATTTTTATGACTCCCCTCAATGTTAAGTGGGATGCGTAATTCCTAAGACAAAGGCGATTAAAGCAGTAAAACTCATATGAAATTCACGCATTGTCAACATAAATAAAATGTTAGTGGATATCATTAAACAAACCTTGACAAATTAGAACTAAACGTAAAATGAGATTGCCATAAAAACTGTTTATATTTAATCTAGTTTCATCTGAATTTTTCCACTCTTCACAATAATTTGGGAATTTCATGTCAATCGCATGCAGTAATCTGCCATTTCAATATTTATCTAAGTGCATTTTGTCAACGATCAAATGCAGTTTCCGTGACCGGAAACCGGAGCTTTGTAGCTGACACCGTCCAAACTAATTCTACTGATCATGCATCAAGGCTGAAACACAATTATTAGGAATTTTGATAATATGCATGTTGATACACAATTTTTTCAGAGCCGCTCACCAGACCCAGATTGTCCAATCACTCGACCGTCGGTGAATGGGCCTACAAAACCCCATAATACCCACTTAATATGGCTAATTTATGCTGGCCAGACCATCACATCTGGCCCACGCGCTCTGCCAACATTTCAAAAAGCTCATAAAAAATTATGATATGTATTATTAATGAAAATTGCAAATTCAGAGGGACGACAGGGCACCAAAACAAACACATTGCCGAACAACGACTTTGGCTACAAAACAATTTATTTATTATGTGCAAACATTATACACTGTTTACTACATTTTTTGTGTCATTCGGAAAGCTGCTGATTATTATAATTTCAGTAAATGCTTCGGCTTAAAATGAAAGCTGCCGTGGAATTTCAATTAATATATTTTCGATTTTGCACCACCTTTCCTCTGTTTGCTTCCATTATTCAAACTTTGCAATCAATTAGTGCCAGCGATTTTTATACCCTTGCAGAGGGTATTATAATTTCAGTCAAAAGTTTGCAACGCAGTGAAGGAGACATTTCCGACCCTATAAAGTATATATATTCTTGATCAGCATCACCAGGAGAGTCGATCTAGCCATGTCCGTCTGTCCGTCTGTCCGTCCGTCTGTCCGTCCGTCTGTCCGTCTGTCCGTCTGTCCGTCTGTCCGTCCGTTTCTACGCAAACTAGTCCCTCAGTTTTAAAGCTATCTGCTTGAAACTTTCCCAAAAGTTGTATTTCTATTGCAGGTAGTATATAAGTCGGAACGAGCCGGATCGGGCCACTATATCATATAGCTGCCATATAACTGAACGATCGGAAAAGCCATAACTTTGGTGTTTTTAAAGTTAGGAAGTTGGGATTTTCTATGGGTTTTATTTTTGGCTAATCAATCCGACCTACCAAATTTCATAAGGATCGGACGACTATATCCTATAGCCGCCATATAACTGATTGATCGGAAAAGCCATAACTTTGGTGTTTTTAAAGTTAGGAAGTTGGGATTTTCTATGGGTTTTATTTTTTGCTAATCAATCCGACCTACCAAATTTCATAAGGATCGGCCGACTATATCTTATAGCTGCCATATAACTGAACGATTGGAAATGACATAACTTTGGTGTTTTTAAAGTTAGGAAGTTGGGACATTTTATGAGTATTAAGAATACATCATATGAATAATTTTGGACAATATAATTTATAAAATATTCTGCAAGGGTATATCAACTTCGGCTCCGCCCGAAGTTAGCTTTCCTTTCTTGTTAATTATAAAATTTTACATCTAAATTATTTTTCACTGCAAACATTTAACCCTTGCTCCAGGTTGATTAAAAATGTTCAACCTTTTCCTTTGGCTTTGAATGACCATTTTATTTTTGTGAGCTCGAAATAGTTCGCATACATAAAAAAACGAGACTCGATTTGCATTTGTCGCAATTTTCATAATATTCACAGATTTTTCTGTGGGCCTCTGCTTATCTTTGATTTTGAGGCCTGTTTATTTGTGTTGAAATGCGAGATTGCCGAGTGGCATGTTCGAGATACATGCATAATTTTTCAGTATTTTTTTTTCATTTGTGTGAAACAAATGCAAAACGAGAAAAAATTTATTAATGTTATATGGGTGTCATTTGGGCTAAGCTGCAGCAGATATAATCTAGCTCCACTGCGACTTTTGTTTGACATGCAAATCGTCATTGGGAGAGATCGTTTCAGTCAGTTGCGCCTGATATTTGATTTGGATTTATTTCGAAATGTATTTATTTTGTTCTCTTGTCAGCCAGCTGTGTTTGCTTACTTTTAATTAGCTTAAAAAATTGTTCGGCGTTCTATGTTCTGTTTATTTAAATTTTATTTCTCCAACTAATTTTTTGTGGCGCTGTCATTTGTTGCAATCAGTGAGAAAATTAAACGAAATCCCGATGACAACATTTTTATTGCTGCTCGATTGCCATTAAAATTAAGAGCTAATCACACGTTTAACAAGATTTTGTTTTGTGTGTGTTTATTTGGTGGTTTCTGACTTTGATCTGTTTTTTTTTTCATTTGGTGGGGACAGGTGCTTAGCATTATTTTTTGGCTGCAGCTGAGTCAGCAATCGAGTCGATCGTGAGAGTTTTTCGTTTGGCTTTGTTTTGGCTCGTTTGATTTAGTTCATTAATTGGCCATAATAGTTTTGTTTTATAACTGGGTCTGTGGTGAACTTGAAGTTGTTGATTTGTCAAATAGCTATCATCTTTGAATGGACTTAAAGAGTTTAAATGAAATGATTTGGTTTGTTTGTTTTTGAACGTGGTTATTAAACAGAACTCTTTCCAAGTTTTTCTCTGTGGGATTTGCTAATCAGATACATCTAGATTTACTCTCTCTTTCCGTTGGGGACCGCCTTCAACCCTTCAATTACGCCAACAAAAGCTAAGGGAATGCCAGACAGAGACGGCTGCAAAGATGCAAAGATAGATGGATAGAGTTGAACAACTAATTAAACTTGAACAATGGCGAAAAGTTGGCAAACAAATGTCATTACTTCGACTTCTGTCTGGGCAGTAAGTAGTGGATTTTGAGTGGTTCGTGTTTTCGTTTTGGGCCGGTTGACACATTTCTGGAATGTAGGTTACCCGAGTGAGACATGCAACGAAATCGAGTTGATTCGTAAGCCCAATACTGTAACCAATTTGGAGACGGGCCTGTTTGGCTGGGCCTGTTTTTACAATTTTTTTCGGTTGGCTATTCGTTTCCGAGATGCGAGTACATAAACAAATCGGATTAGTTGACAAAAATCCAATTAGCTGTGGGCCCCAAAACCAAACGGTTAACAATTTTCAACTGGCAGTAGAAGAAGGAAAAATAAGTCGAGCATTTGATGGATGTGTGGCAGGCGTAAGAATTTATAGAGCGGTGATTTGATCGATAGGCCTCAATGTCCAGCGATGATTTACGAGGCGGGCAGGTAACACAACAACAGGTACAGGTAAATGTCCGGGGATTCATGCAAATTCTCAGACTGCCTGGCGACCCCGGAGATAAGCTGACGGGACGTCCACCTGCACCGGAAAGTGGGAAAACCCAAGACAACAGGCTGGTCGCAGTGTATACATACCTGGACACGGATAATGAACCTCTAAAATCCACGCCTCGCAAATCCGCATCCTCGTTTTTGGGCAATAAAGGGCTAAACCAAACAGGCCCGACAATAAGTCCCTATAGATCGCAGTGCATATTATCATAATCACCAATAAAACCCTAGTCGCAAACTAATCCACTCGGGCCTTTTTCGACTGACCAGTTGCATTGAGGGATTTGTGATCGGACTAAACTTGAAGTTTATCTGCATAACACTCGCTTTCTGTGGCCGCACAATTCCCGGTATTCCATCTCGACCCGACTCTCCACCCGCATTTTTGTTTAGTGTAATTTAATCACATAATATGTTCTTGGGAGGGGAGGAGCGCCTGCATAAAGTGCGCAATCTGAATCCCATGGGGCCATTGGCTAATCGCTGTCTAATTATAATTTTGCATTTTTATCGCCAAGGGTCTGGGCATTTTCGGCTGGGGTAGGTGATGGGGGAGGGGGAGGAAGAGGGGCCGGCAAGGCCGTTTCTGTTTCGGCTGCGGTTTGTTTTGCAATTAGGCGATTAGTCACGCCCTGATTTGTCATTGATACTCCGTCCGCTCGATTGCTCAGTTTGGGTGAGTGTTATATGCAGTAGATTTAACCGAAGCCCTGTAACTATATAAACTATGCGGGCTGGCTTAGTGATAGTGATACAGGAGACATGGGGGTGGGGTAATATATGCAGATAACAAGAAAGAAACATGATATGCGATGCCAGAGGGGAGGCATTTTGTAGCCTTTTTGTTTGATGGAATTTCATTTTAGATTTTGTAATAGCTATTTCTGTGCTTATCTTATTTTGAAAGACATAATCAGATTTTCTGGTACTCTCATTAAAGCAAGGAGGAGTAAGGTAAACTATTAAAATATAGGATTACCTAAAATATAGAATTTCTAGTCCTGGTTATGACCTGTACAAATTTAGAGCAACGAATCTATAAGACATAT